CACCCGTCCACCGATGCCGGGACCTCGACCCCGGCCACAGGCACCGCACTGGACACGGACAGCACAGCCGGACGAACGCGGGGCTTTTTGACATTTTCTTTGCGGAGTTTCTGTGGTTGTTTCTCTCTCGGCCCTTTTGTAATTCTCCGTCTCTACGAGGCAGGAGCCTGACGGCCGCTTCCCTTCCGCTGGGGGCTGCGTCTTCTTTTCCTTTTTTAAGGAGTTGAGTTTTGTATTCTAAGTATCCACGCACCGGGCAGCGTCCTGCCCGCTCCCAAGTATTTGCACAATATTTGTGCGGGGTGTGGGGGCAGGTTTTTAAGGCATTTCCTCTCTCTTGGACAAGCACAGGGATCCGTTCTCGGGTGTGGGGGGTTGGGGGCTCTCCGTCCGCGTCCCACACCGTCATGGCCCGCATGAACCGGCCGGCCCCCGTGGAGGTGAGCTACAAGAACATGCGGTTCCTCATCACGCACAACCCCACCAACGCCACCCTCAGCACCTTCATCGAGGTGAGTGGCCGGCGGGCAAGGTGCCGGCGAGCCTGGCCGCGCTGCCCTCGGACTCCCGAGAGCGACTCGTTGCTGTCAGCCCAGCGAGGGCAGAGCTGTCACCCTGGTTACCTGATGCCGCGGGGGGGACTCCCGGGGAGCTCGGGGTGGGGCTGCCGGCGGACCCGCTGGCTCCTGGGGGCCGGCGTGTGGGCAGGTGGACTCCAGCTGCCCGAACCAAGGCCGGTTCAGAAGCAGGGGAGCAGCCCTGTGCCCTTTGCTGGCCTATGGCCTCTGTAGGGGCTGAGCTGGAAGGAGGGGGGAGGCCCCCAGGTGAGCAGCAGCCCTGAAACAGCCTAGAGTCAGACAGGTGGGGGACCAGTTTTACAGATGAGGAAGCTGGTGCTCTAGCCAAGACCCAAGTATAAGCTTGGCAAGACTGGAATGTGAGGCTGTCCCTGTGGGGAGCTGGACCGCAGCCCCGCTGGCCACCAGAGAGCGACCGCGCCCTTGGAGGGTGGCCGGCGGCGGGTGTGGGAGCCCCGGCAGGTGAGGCCACGTGTGTCTGCAGAGCCCCCGGCCCTCACACAGCCTCCCTCCCTCCGGAGAAGCCTGGTGTGGGGCGAGCTCCCTGCTGTGTGCAGGGCCCGGCTGTGCGCTGCCTCTTCCCCCTGCAGCCTGCGCCCTGGTCCTCCTCGCACAGGGACCGGGGCCGGAGAGGAGCGTGAGCATCGAATGGGGGGCAGTGGGCGCCCTGGACAGGGACCAGGGGCCCTCAGGGGCTGTCTCCTCACCACAGAGGCCCGTGAGACAATAGGACCCGGATGACTGGGCACAGCCCTCAGCCTGTGGTCGGGTCAGCGCTCCACGTGTGCCCAGGCTCAGGGCTCAGGGTGTGACCAGGGTCAGGGCTCAGGGTGTGCCCAGGGTCAGGGCTCAGGGTGTGCCCAGGGTCAGGGCTCAGGGTGTGCCCAGGGTCAGGGCTCAGGGTGTGCCCAGGGTCAGGGCTCAGGGTGTGCCCAGGGTCAGGGCTCAGGGTGTGCCCAGGGTCAGGGCTCAGGGTGTGCCCAGGGTCAGGGCTCAGGGTGTGCCCAGGGTCAGGGCTCAGGGTGTGCCCAGGGTCAGGGCTCAGGGTGTGCCCAGGGTCAGGGCTCAGGGTGTGCCCAGGGTCAGGGCTCAGGGTGTGCCCAGGGTCAGGGCTCAGGGTGTGCCCAGGGTCAGGGCTCAGGGTGTGCCCAGGGTCAGGGCTCAGGGTGTGCCCAGGGTCAGGGCTCAGGGTGTGCCCAGGGTCAGGGCTCAGGGTGTGCCCAGGGTCAGGGCTCAGGGTGTGCCCAGGGTCAGGGCTCAGGGTGTGCCCAGGGTCAGGGCTCAGGGTGTGCCCAGGGTCAGGGCTCAGGGTGTGCCCAGGGTCAGGGCTCAGGGTGTGCCCAGGGTCAGGGCTCAGGGTGTGCCCAGGGTCAGGGCTCAGGGTGTGCCCAGGGTCAGGGCTCAGGGTGTGCCCAGGGTCAGGGCTCAGGGTGTGCCCAGGGTCAGGGCTCAGGGTGTGCCCAGGGTCAGGGCTCAGGGTGTGCCCAGGGTCAGGGCTCAGGGTGTGACCAGGCTCAGGGCTCAGGGCTTAGTGTGAGCCCAGGGTCAAGGGTCAGTGTGAGACTAGGGCTCCAGGCTGTGACCTGGGTTGGTGGCAGCACCCTCTGCTGCAGGCACAGGGGACCCAGGTGCCCATGGCCTCCGAGCCCTGCGCCCGTCCTGCTTCAGACTCCTCAGCGGTGCGCGGTCCGGCCCTCGCTGTGCCCAGTGTCCCTGTCCCGTGAGCCGGTCCAGCAGCTGATGCCTCACCGTCCCCAAAATAGCTGCCGGGAGCAGGTGGGGTGGAGCCGCCCCCTGAGGCCGGTGGAGGGGACACCTGCCCCCCCCCCGGGGGAAAAAAATC